TCTGGAGCACAAATAACAGTCTTATTATAACAGTGTTAGCCTGCGAATATAGCCGTCTCTCCTCGCTTCTCGCCGCTAGGGATGATTTCAGCCTCCTCCTCAGGCGCTTAGTTTTTCGCATGGTAGAGGCGAGCGCGAAACGCGAGTGACTGATGATGAACCACAAGGGACCATGGGAAGGGTACAGATGGAAGGTTTAGACCTTTGTCCCCTTCCCGCCTTCTTTTGCGCGCCAATTTTCATCGAGAGAGAGACGTCTGGGTACAAGGCAGGGACGATTTCGTCCCGGCGAGGAGCGAGGAGAGACAACAGTATTCGTAGGCTATAAGAGCATGAATGAGGTTTAGGCTTGGGAATCGTCATTGTCATTATCATTTTATTTGATAAGGTGGTTATCTGGATTGCGGTCCAGGACCCCAGTTGCATAAAACGCCAGTAAGAATTACGGGTGTACGTATGTGCACTCGTAACTTAAGTGAGTTGCATTAAATTACTTAAGTGGTCCACTTAGGGATTTCACTTAAGTAACTGCACTTACGATTTTCGTAAGTGTTCACCGAAGTGTCGTTTATGCAAAAGAAATCGCGGGTGTTGCATAAAACTTTTTTTTACGGGAAAAATAGCACGTAAATTTACGAGACCTACGTAGGTCCCGTAATTATCCTTACTGTTTTTAACAAAGTTAATGAGATCTTTTACTGAGAAGTGAAAACAATTTTTTTTCTTTACGTAATTCCGATCTAATGCGCTTTGTAAACCTATGGTGTACACTTTAAAGCCGTCGGTAAGAACAACAAACATTTCCAGTGGATATTGAAGTAAAATAATGATTGCATGCAAACTTAATTTCAATGAGGGACTTTGAAGTATTCGTGTACCCTTAAGTGAGCCCGTTAGTTACCGTAAAATTCCGAAAATAAGCCCCTCCATGTATAATTCTCTTCCAAATATAAGCCCCCCAAACTTGTAAAGCAAAAACCGTCCGTGAAATCGCCCCAATATAATACATTGTACTTGGAAAATTGCCCTTAAATACAAAGTAAAACAAAGTGAAAAAGGTAAATTTCCTTCCAACTGTAAGGCTAGCCCAATCGATTTTGAAACGCAAATTTCCCTCCTTAGATAAGCCCCTCCGAATATAATTGACGGAAATAAACGGTTATGTGAATAAAACGTACGTTAATGGGTACCGACAGGAAGCGAAGACTGTTACTTGTTACGGTAAGGCCCGGTGTAAACATCGCATTTCACATGTGCCAAATTTAATTCAGGTATTGAATGCGCAGGAAGTTCGGCGTTTAACTAAAATTAAATTCGACGACGCGACTTCTGTCGCATCTTCGACTGAGCCAGTCAAATCTCGACAGAAGTTCAGCCGTTGTCTTTTGTGCCGAATCGAATTTTTAAATCATGTTTCATTCATCATAACCCACAATTCTCAAGTTTTTCCCAACTCTATAAAAAGTCGATCATGATTCGACGTGTAAAATGGCGGATTTACTTACTTACGTTTTAGTCAAATTTAGAGATAACTTATTCACTTTAAACCAAATAATTATTTTTGCAAATTCATTGTTAACAATAGAAACGAGGTGGTTGGCATTTTTATGGGAACAAAAGATACTTGTGTCATCAGCAAACATGTAAAGATTGAGTGAGACTAGAGACATTATGTAAATAATAAACAAAAGAGGTCCAAGGATTGAGCCCTGCGGGACGCCACATAAAAATTTTCCGCGGATAAGATCGATGGGACCCAAACTGGACATATTGAGTCCGATCCTCAAGATAGCCTTTGATCCACGCCAAAGCAGTATCCCGAATACCATAGTGTTGCAGTTTTTGACACAATATTTCTAAGAATATTTCTAAGAAGATGCCTTAAGTTGTTTCATTTCTGTCGATAGCTGAAGATATATTGTTGATCAAGTCAATTAAAGCTGATGCACTCGAATGATTATTAAGGAATCCAAATTGTGTCGAGTATAAAATATTATGCAAGTTTAAGAAATTAATCAGTCGGTTGTATATGACTTTTTCAAAGAGTTTAGAAAAGGTTGAAAGAATTTATATCGGCCTGTAGTTACTAAAAAATGTTGGGTCATCTGCCTTAAAAACTGGAATCACTTTGGCTATTTTGAAAGATTCAGGAAACGCACTAGTAGACAACGAAGTGTTTATAATCGTTACAAGAGGCTGTGCAATTTTTTGGAAAGACTGATGAATTATCTTAATGGATATATTATCATGTCCAGGAGCTTTGTTAACGTTGAACGATTTAACAATATTGTATAATTCACCGACCGTTAGTGGTTGCAATGAAATGGATTCAGAAAGAGAGCTGCTCAAGAAATCCTTGGGTGTTGAATTTGTGGAAGGAATTTGGCTTGCCAAATTTGGCCCGATATTGGTGAAGTAATCACAGAAATTATTGGCAATGTCAGTAGGATTGCTTCGAATTGCTAATTTCCATTCCATTTTTGGTGAAGCTTCCTGAACATAGTGATTTAGCTACACGCCTGTTGATCACTTCATTGAGAATTTTCCATGTTTGCTTTAAGTTAGATCTAGCCTTATCCATTTTGTTGTCATAATAATTTTTCCTGGCGACACGAACAAGACAAGTTAGCTTATTTCTAAATGACTTATAGATGTATTCACGCTCATGACTTGGTTTCCTTAAGTAAGAATACATTATACAGCCTAGACTTTGTTTTAATAGATTTCAAGATTCCAGTTGTAAGCAACGGATTATGCAGAGTATTTAGATATTTCCCTTGACAAAACTTTCTCGGAAAACTCTTGTTATAAAATTCAGTATATTTTTGTAGGGACCCATTGTAAGCCGCATTAGCATCACCATAGATTATAAGACCCTGTTCAGGCTGACTTGAAAAAAATCTAGTTTCTTATACGTGGAGTTTTACTGTACTTAAAAATAGACTGTGAAAAATATGGAAATAAAACCGAGGTTTCAAAGAAAAAAAGCATGTTGGTATCTTCAGTTTCGTTGTTTCGAGAAAAAAGGTCGCAAGAATTGTTAAAAAAGGGTTTGACGAGAAACAATGTGAATTTTGTGTGACTTTATACCCCACACCTGAAAGATGCAAGCAAAAATGCCCCTCCAACCCCTCCTAATAAACACACAGCGTCTGCTAGCTACTTTCCTTCTAACAAACACATTGTGTCTGCTGGCTATTTTAACTTAACATTGGCTACGAAAAGGCTACGAAAAGCCTGTCGTCCCTTCCTTTTGCCTTGGATCCTTGGAACTTTCATTCCGCAGAACTGCAACGAGAAGAGAAAATTAATGAAATTAGTGGTGCAGATCAGCTTTCCTCACAAGTATAAACAAAAAACTGGATCTGCAGTGTGTAGATAGATCTGTATAATTAATGTTCTAAAGTTCAGGCTTCGCGAACGTTTTCCCATCAGCGATGTTAACATCGTCAAATCACTGTTTGTTGAAATAAGAACTGCTCGTTGCACGATATAACTTTACCGAGGCATGTTAATGTAAGATTTTCCAAGGAAAACTGGCATTTTATCATGCAACCGATTTGCAGATCAATTTTAACGGTGAAACGACTGAGAAATGGCAAAGGGGTTGGGGTATTTATATTATTTGGTTCTGATTATCCTGGTATATTCAAAATAAGTTGGAGAGCTACTCGATATTAGACTAGACGCACTGCGTGAGCTCAGGCTTCTATGTAAAAATTTCAAATGAACAAACTTTACCTAAGAAATCACAGCCATACACATTTTAGTTTCTTCTACTCTTTTTAGGTTGCAGATTCTTCGAGAATTCATTGTACATAATTGTACTCTTCAAATTTCTTCCATAACAAAAAAACCGTTCACATTTTTTTGCTCGGCCGTTCCTTTGGAAAAGCCCGAGCAAAAGTGGGAAGTGCTGTAAGTGGGGCAAACTATTGCGGGCCAATCCAATTAAGTTTTTGTTTCTTAGATTGTTAATATCCTTTGTGAAAACACTCACCTGAACTTATAAACAAGTGGACGTTGAAATTTGTGATACGAGGCCTCGTGCTGCTCGTGAAAAGTTGACTAGTTTAATAGTAAATGATCACAAACCTATAATTACATGTTTACTTACTTTCTTATGACTAGTTATCTAAATACTTACATCATCAAAGGTGGCTCCTTTTTCGTGGTACGACTCAGCCACATTATTTCAGTCCTAGAAATATATCATTTTGACACAAATTAGATATCCTATCCCCTTAAATTGAAATTCTTACTATGACTCTTGAATTCTTTATTTACTCTCATTTCAACAAAAAGTCAATAAAAATGCCTGCGGCACATAAGGCAAATGGCTCGAGCGGGCAGGATGGGCCTATCTTGCCTGTTCTTAGATGCCCCTTTTGCTTAGAACCAAAATCTCCCTTGCTCAGAGCCTGTTTCGTGTGCCTCTAAAAGGTTTTGATTTTATACAACTTCTTTAACGTGGAAGTTACTGCAGCTGTTTGCAGGTGGCCGGCGCATAAAAGTCTGAAATCTAACTTTTTTCCACCTCTTTCGAACTGATCATTAGAGATAATTGTTTCTCTCAAGCCAGTATGGAGAAAGCTGAGTAAATCTTTTGTAACAAACATTTGACGAAACATATTCATTATAAGTTTACAGCTGTATGGTAAACTTTGCCATACTTGAATGTTTGAATACCCTAGATTTCACTCTTAAGTTATACTTCTTTGACTCTACAAATGTTTAAACTTCCTTTGAAAGGTTGAGTCATTTGAAAGTTATCGCCTACTCGGAAGCTAAAGGGTCTTGGCACAACCCATGCCAGCCACAAAGAAAATATATATGATCGTTATAACACTGAGCGAATACCATTTACCTTATTAAATTTTCGCTTCATGTTTATTCATTCGCGATTTTGCGAACATTTTATATTTTGAATCACTTTAATTTCGTATTTTTGAGCACCACAATTAACATTTTATTGGCAATGTTTTTTAACATGTCCTTGAATTAGATAAAACGACTTTATCCAAGGAACAATAACGTCAACATTAAGAAGAACGCAACAGTGGGACTAAATAGGGAGTTTAAGATACGGCGACTACGGACTACGGCTACGGATAAATATGCTACTGCGCATGATCAAAACCACGTGACTGTTCATTTTTCCCGCGTAGTCCTACGGTGACGGTGAGTTGTTGAGCCGTTTCGCGTATAGTCAGGTGGCTAAAGGCTCAGATCTATACAGAGCGGACAAAAGCACCAAACTTTGCATGGTTGTAGCTTAGGACATGTTAGTCAATATTAGGATCGGTGCCCACAGCTACCTCTTCAGGATTTGCAGCAACTGCTCGCTGAAGTTCTTCAACAACCTTCCATCATGGGTGGCCTGTGCTGAAAATTGCAATCCCTTGTTTATTGCCATTTTTTGATGAAAATCACATAAAAAGGCAAGTAGATGGAAAAAGAAACTGTATTAATACTATTGTTATTGAAACCGATGACTAAAACAAGTCAACTTAATGATATATAGCAATAATGATATGCCATGGTGGGTACCCTGTGCTAAGAATATGAATTCCTTGTTTTTTGCCATTATTTTGATGAAACTTGAAAATCAAAAAGAAATTGTATTATGATTGAAACCAACGACAAAAAGCAAGGCAACTAAATGGAAAATCCAAAGAAGACTTTTTCATATGCGTACTCTGTCCCAAATGGCCTTTCAAGATGGCGGCTTGAAGGTGTCTTTTCATGGATTGTAATAATCCGCTAGAATAACTTGTCGCTTTTTAAGGGAAATTGTGTACAATTTGAATCACTACAGGTTTAAGTGAAGTTTTAAGCTCTTCTTGGCGATAAATTTGTTATCGAAAGCCACATTTTCGCTTCATATTTTGTGCCGATTATAAATGACTATTCGAATTTGTTTTTTCTTACTGGTTAGTTAAAGGTTTCTGAAGCGGAGATGTTTTCTACACACCACGATGGATATCAACTGGAATCGTTGTCATATTTGTCAAGAATCAACCTACGAAGATCTGAGAAGCCCATTGGTTTAACGGTACAAGCATTTATAGAATGCTCCTTGCAAATGTACTAAAATTCAGGAAAGAGGACTGTTTTCCTGTTGCAATTAAGTTTGATACTGAAATCACTACAGAAGTAAAAATGCAAAGAAGCAGCAATCCTGTCACCTCAAGTTTAGCAAGTCCAAGTTAGAAAAAGCAAGAGAAAGGAAAAACAAGCATGTTGAAGCAGACCAGAAACAGAAAGACAGGAGGTTGTAGATTGTGGTACCAAACGAACTCGGAAGGTTGACACTAGTGAGACCGCAAAGTGTGCGACATGAAACGAAGATGATGGGAGCCACCTACACAGTTTCTACACATCGAAAGCCAAAATGTATTGCCAACGATTTACTGGACTATGGTCCTCCAAGAATATTTGGCGGTGGTGTGATTGCCATAGGTTCAAAATATAATACGCGCTGTTTAACTGACTTGCGAAATAGGCATACATGTCAGAGGAACGCAAGAAGAAAAGTGAAGCAGCTTGATGGAAGGCTGAGGAAGACGAGGAATTAAGTAAATCAAGAGCATTTCTTGAACTCACTGAGTACATAGCAAACGCAGTGGAGAATGATACACATTTCTTTCTACTTGCCGAACTTCATAAGCTGTATTCGTTACATACAAAGGCACACACTTTGCAGCCCCACTAGTGTCAGTCTTCAAAGCTTGTTTGGTGCCACAATCTACAATCTGCTTCAACATGCTTGTTTCTCGTTTTTTCTTTACTTTTTCTAACTTGGACGTAAGGTGAGAGGATTGATGCCACTTTACATTTGTTTACTACTGTAGTGATTTCAATATCAAAAGTAATTGCAACAAGAACACGTACAGCCCTCTTTCTTGAATTCTAGTAACTTGAATTGTCAAGGAACGTTCTATAAATAATTCTGCCGTTAAACCAGTGGGTTTCTCAGATTCTCTCTTTTCGATTCTCACCCTTGGTAAATATGATAAATATGACAACGATCCCAACTAATTTCCATCTTGATGTGTAGAAACGAGCTGAAACTCAATCACGATAAGACTGAAATCGTGCTTATCTTGTCGATGAACCGTACTCGTCCACCCTTTAGCGACTTCATTATGGGCATGCTGGGCTAAGAACCACCGCCAGATTATCGTTGTACCAGCTCAGGAACTTATCAAAGATAAGAAAGTGTATCACACAGGAGTCTAGCGAAATTTCTGTACATGCTTTTAGTACATCTAAAATAGACCATTAATTGCAATTCACTACCCCCAGGTCGGACTTGTAAAGGCTTTGTGGACACATTATTCATTTGACCTTCACTGGCTTCCTGTTAGTTATCATGTTCTTTTAAACTTCTTTTGTCAGTTTTCAAATCACTTAATAACCTTCCACCTAGCTATCTAGCGGACAGACTTAGTTATCAAAGGCGCTCCAGGAACTTGTGGTCTGCATCTCAGCAGCTGTTAGAACAACCTCGAAAACTCACGGGGACAAGGCTTTTACGGAGTGCGCCCCTTAACTGTGGAACTCACTACCATTAGCTAGATTTGCGCAAGTTACCATCTTTAGCTAGTTTAAAGAAAGGACTGAGAACATATCTTTTTACGCAATTTTTAGAGAGTAAGTCAAAACGTCTTTAATATCTTTAGATCATATAACTTAACTTATAGAATGTATATTCAGTTTTTTGCATGACTTATTATCATCATATACAAACTTTAATGGCAAAATAATTTTAAAACATTTTAATTTTTGTTCCCTTCTCTTGTTCTTTGTGAATTACAAATAGATTTTAATATATGTTATTTCATGCTCGAGAGATATATATTTTTCCTCTTTAACATTGTAAAGCACCATGAACTTGGGATATGAGCGCTATAGAAAGAAGCCATTTTTTACTATTATTAATTTTAACCAGTACAAAAGTAAACTCAGTATAGTCATTCATAATCGGCATAAAATGTGAAGAGAAGAGGTGGCTTTCGATAACAAATTTATCACCAAGAAGAGCTTAAAACTTCACTTAAAACTGTCGTGATTCAAATTGTAAACAATTCCCCCCCAAAACGGCAATATTTTCTAGCGGATACTTACAGTCCATGAAAAGACACCTTCAATTAAGCCACCATCTTGAAATGCCATTTGGGACTGAATACGCGTCTGAAAAGATCTTCTTTGGATTTTCCATTTAGTTGACTTCTTTTTGTCATTGGTTTTAATAATAAAATAATACAATTTCTTTTTCTCATTTTCATGTTTCATTAATATAGAGGCAAAAAACAAGGAATTGATATTCTTAGCACAGGGAACCCACCATGGTATATCATTATTGCTATATCATTAAGTTGACTTGTTTTAGTCATCGGTTTCAATAATAATAGTGTTAATACAGTTTCTTTTTCCATCTACTTGCCTTTTTATGTGATTTTCATCAAAAAATGGCAAAAAATAAGGGATTGCAATTTTGAGCACAGGGCACCCATCATGGAAGGTTGTTGAAGAACTTCAGCCAGCGGTTGCTGCAAATCCTGAAGAGGTAGCTGTGGGCACCGATCCTAATATTGACTAACATGCCCTAAGCTACAACCATGCAAAGTGTGGTGCTTTTGTCCACTCTGTATAGATCTCGCTAAAATTTTGCACTAAGCCACCGGACTAGTAGTCGGGACTACGGAGAACATTTTGCTCGTATTTTGCCGTCTCGGTAATTCAAGAATCTCGTCTTTTCTTAAAAACGTTTTCAATTCACCTGCTTTAAGTGAGAGGGAAGCGAAATATGTAAGTTGTGTCTAATTTCTGCTCAGATTTACGCTTTTAATCCACTGTTGTGACTACATTTTTATCTTGCTAAGCTCATGTTTAAATAAGCTTAGCTGTTTATACGCAGAATTCAGATTGGCGGCCTAGGAGAAGAGAAATCATGCAGGTAATTTACTTTCTCTTCGCACTTGAAAAGTTTCAATGTTTGTTCGAACTGGTTAGTGAGTCTTTGTACTTGTGTAACCTTTATTTATGCGAGTTTTTGTATCGCGCCATTTGCTGAATGAAAATGATGTAAACATGCTCGAGACAATCGAAACTCGGCATTTCAGTACTTCAAACTACATCAGATCAGCAGTCGGAGAAGTCCATCTTCTAAATCTAATAAATGAGCTATTTTACTATTTTTGTCTATATCTTTAATATTTGACATAAGTATTCATGGGCGAAAAAATAAAACCTGTGTAACCAAAACTTTGTTTACCAATTTCACCCGACGTAATTGCTTCCTTCAAGTATGAAAGAATTTGTTCATTCAATCATTGTTCTAAAGATAAGATCACATGCAAAACTGACTTGCATTTTTGTGAACTGTGATGAAAACAAGTAAATCTTTGCGTGTTGTTTCCCTCTCCGCCTCTTCTGTCGTAGTCTACTGTCTGTAGTGCAATCTTAACGTTCTATATTTGCACTACTCAACCCAGTGCTACAAACAAAGGACAACGCTCGTCCAGCCGTAGTTCGTAGTCCGTAGTCTCCGTATCTTAAACTCCCTAATGTCAACAGTAACAACAAAGCAGTTCTCTCAATGTCCACAAGCAGTTCATGCTTGTACGTTATTATTGTTCTTGAGTCAGGCCCGTTTCAAACGTGGTGCTACTGCCGTGCCGAACTTAATTGTACGGCAGTAGCGCAACGTTTGAAACCAAGTCGTGCTACTGCAGTGTAGCACGGCAAGCTTTGCCGTGCTACACGGCAGTAGCTCAACTAGAGCTACTATTCTATTCTATTCGGCTAACTCAATGTTGTACCCAATTCAAACCCTTTGGGAATAAAACGTTTTGTTTCAGGAATTTCCATATTATTTAAATGTGAATGCCACATTATAATGCAAATATAATACACAAAGAATCTTATTCCCGGGAGATTTGAACTGGGTACAACATTGAGTTAGCCGAATAGGTCTCTTGGTTTCAAACGTCGCGCTACTGCCTTGCCAAACACAATTCATAAATTATGAATACATTAGAAGGCATTTAAAAGTTTGCTGAATCGTTTCTTTATTTTTGCGTTTTGTTTTCGGCAACAGCCATGCGTGCTATTCGACTATTAAATTTGACGTCTGAAACCAAGTCGTGCTAGTGTCGTGCTGTAGCTTCGAGCTACAGTCGAGCCAGCTTAGCACGGCAGTACACTACGTTTGAAACAGGCCTCAATTGACTACAAAATCCATTTACCCTGAAAATTCCTTCCTACAGACTCTGAACGGAGAAAAAAATAAACATTGAGTAAAAAATGTGATTTCAGTGTTAATAATAAACTCGTTCTTTCTTGATTATTGACATAATGTGAGTCACTTAATTCACTTAATTTTCGCGTCACTTTCATTTCCTGATTTTTTGTAATAAGGGAATAGGTAGGCCCCTGATGGTTATGACATACTTTACTTACTTTTCAGTGCCATCGAGTAGTTTTTCCCTTTTGATTTTCCTCCTGCATGGAAGAAAGAAAAAGTGAGTAAATTGACCAATAACTATGAAGTAAACAACCTGCAGGTTTACATGCTGATTAAACGATTTGCATCTACTAGTTTTTTTATGTGATTGATGTTGCTACATTACTGAGAGGACTCCTTATTAATAGTCAAGGTAGCTTTTCTGGCCTGACGCCAAATATCCTTGGAGAATATAAAAATCAAAGTTAAGGAAAAGAAGGGAGGTTCCTAGATAGCAAACAACACCATTTTGTTTTCGGTTACTGACTGAAAGTTTTATCATATTACCTGCAAAGCTATTTAAAGGTCGATTTTTAATGTCAACAAAGCAGACGTAAAACAACTTTTCAAGTCTTGTGGTTGCCTGGGGCCAATTTAATAAACGTAATAAATAATAATAAACGTTTAAACGTGTAATTTATAAGATCTTATAAGTGTGCTCATTTTTTTGTGTCTAAAAACAATAGAGAAATGAGACCCCAGGGTACTGACACTGGTACCACTTCTGCTACCAGTTCGAGTACCATAATGTGGATAAGGTGGAATGGCTGAAACTTACTTCTTCAAACAAATGAACACGACAATAATCAGGACAAATAGGAGGAAAATGACCAGCAAGGGAATGAGAACATTGATAACTTTAAAACCTGTGAAGAAAAAAAGTAGAGATATGCCCAAACGGGTACAGATTTCGATAAATATTGAAGACTGTGTCTCGCAAAACCGTCGCGTAGTCTGATCTCCTGCAGCTTGCGATTCACTCGGCGTTTACATGAGGAGAATCACTTACGATTCAGCAACAGTAAACATTTCCGTTTTTATTGAACAAAGAAACATTTCATTTCAGCATGATATTTCACTAACAACCATGAGACTGGGAGTCTTGTCGTGAGAACAATTAAAAAATCGTGAGACTCACGGCAGAATCGTGAGCTTCGACCAGCTTCGCGAAATTGCTGATCTTTTCGTCATGTTTATCGCCTGGACGAGTCAAAAAGCTTCAAAAGTTCCTAAACTTGTCTCAAAGTTGGCCATAGTGCTAATTTGAAACATTCAAAGTCCACATGAAGACAATCGTCCTGTGCCTCCTGTGAAATGTACAAAATCAGCACATCGCGGAACGGCAACGAATACCCGCGACAGTTGTCGTTCTGATATCGGGCGCTTTCGTGCGGAGCCGACTGATTTACGAAGGGTGTCTACATCTGGGTGACACATTTGCATATTGCAGTGCCCACAGTAACTTGTTCCTTACGCTACACGTAATCCACAAGTTAAAAACTCTAATCTGTGTGAGAGCCACCTCTTTATCGCGTTCACCTTGGTCGTCATCCTGCGGCGAGCTCCGTGAATGTATCGCACAAAAGACTCCCATACCATTCGGTCCCGTACGGTTTTGTGTGCAATATTTTAATGGGTAAAATGCTGATGACAAAAGTTTCTGTGACCAAAGAAGTGAGTTGCATAATACTATGTAAAAACCTGTGTTCCAGCGTTCCGTGTCTGTTTTTCATTCAAACCCGGTTTGATTAAATATAGTGGAACCCCGCCTTACGACCACCCCGTTTATAAGACCACCTCGTTATTACGGCCATATTCTTTCAAACCAAAAGTACAAAACATTGAGTCATTTTATTATTTTGAAGACCCCGTTAATGCGACCACCTCGTTATTACGACCAGGATTTTATGGCCCAACGGTGGTCGCATTAACGGGGTTCCACTGTATATTTAGTTGGTGTGAATGGGTATATCGAAGAGTTCTCCATGATTCTAACTCAGTATGCACGCCATGGGAAAGTTTTTTCAACATCATTCATTAACCAATGGGATCACGAGTTGATCGACACCACATTCCTTGATTTAGCATTCGCACATTCAATTTGGCAACGACAGTCGTTGTTTTTTGCTCTTTTTTTGGTTTGTTTCTTTTTAGTTGTATCCCAAGTGCTACTGCCCGAATCACGTGCTTTTTGCCGGAAGGATTTCAAAATGTTTGACAGCTGGAGGGCCTGGCTGCCTCCACCCCCCGCCTCCTCCCCACGACCCTACCCCGCACGCCCCCTAAAAGAAGTATCTAAAGACAATAATAGTCACCTTTTGTTTTGCTTTGTTTACTTTCTTTCTTTCTTTTCCACCATCCGTCACTGGCCTGGGAACAGTACTCGTGTCTGAAATTTGAATTAGCCAATCAGAGGTCAGCAACTCGTTGAAACTAAGTTTTCCTACGTCATCTGTTCTTCGCGCGCCCTGACTGGTCAGAATGATGGCGACAGCAGAGAAGCAATTACATGAAGTAAAGCGCGAAAAAAATATTCTTTTTCAACATGTCTAATGGCGGAAACTATTTTTTTCTTTCTTTGTTATAAATTTCCCCACTTCATAGACCCCTCATAGCGAAGTGTGTCGGCTAATATTGTTGTAAAAGCCTGTTACAATGTTTGATGTTCAACTGATGGAGTGGTATTTTAAGATCGTTATTATATCTGGGAATATAATCATGCTTCGAGTCACTGGCTGTTGGACTACTCGAACGTCATTCTTGTGCGAAGAAGCTTGTTGAGGCGTACTTCTAACCCAAACAACATCTTAAGGTATCGAAGAGAGTTTTTGCTCTCCCTGGCTAATTAAGCAGCCCTCACCAGCGTGGATCGCTAGACTGCATTCGCACGTATCGTATTTATTCGAATGAGCGCCCAACTTCAAGTTAGCGCCCACCTCGAATAAGCGCCCGTTATGAAAGGCAGAAAACGTTAATAAACGCCTAGCCTCGAATAAGCACCCACCCCCACCCCACTCCCTCCCACACAAACTCAAATAAGAGATAATAAGAGACCCTCCCGAAGACGGAGTTTTCTTCAGAGCATTTTAAAGAAACCTTGATTTGTTACTTCTTCGCTTTTTGTTGCCACAGACAAATCACGATATTTTGCTCAACCACGTCCAACAATTGTTAATTATTTAGACATAGGGTCCCTGAAAGCTAAATTTCTTTAAGGAAGAGCTGGAGATCATCTTTTTTCTGTGCATAGTGAATACCATCTTTGGGGACCCAGGGGCAGTCAGTCGGGAGAAAAGGGAAAAGGCGGGACGAAAGTTTTCAAGTACGGGCAAAAGAGCCCCTGGGTACCGACTCTCACCGAGCTATTTCCAAAAATTCAAGCGGATGCTGGCTCCTGATTGGGCACAAAAAATGCTTTGTATTATTGTGCCCAACTGGCGAACAGTTTCTCCTGAGTTCTTTTGGCGTAAATATCAAACGTTTTTTCAGATTACACATAACAAAACCATAACTAAAGGGACATAATACCTAAACATAATAAATTCTCTACTACGTTGAAGCGTGACTCTTTTTTATGTTTATTCAAACACATAACAGCCTGCACTAGAAATGTGTTGCTTGTCAAAAGTGAGAACACGTCCGGCTGGCCATATAAAGGTGATTTGGGGAATTTTTTTGTTCCTTTTCACTAAAAGCCCTTACTTATTACCCTGCATATCACATAGGAGCATATTTTTCTGACTGAACAGTCCCTGCATTATGGTATTCTCTTCCTGAAAACGTTTTATAATAATGGTCAATTCTATAATTTGTTGTGCAAAGGAAGTGCGTGCTTCGATCGTCCCGGACTGATTAAATGAGTGCAATTTGTCTTGCAAAATTGTGACAACTGCAAAATTATAGGTTTAAATAGGGCAAAACAAATTCTTTAAGGCATGTGCCTTTTGTGTTCACATAACTGGGTCCCACCACGCAGCAAATGAATATAATTAATTCAATTCCAGGATCACATTGCCTTACAGCGTTGAAACATTTAAAACAGTCTCATTATTCATTCAAAATATTTCCCAGATTCTGATTGGCTAAAAGCACACGCATAATTCACCATAACCAGCTACTGATGACCAAATTTGGAAGAATTTTGCGTTTAATGAACCGATGACGTCAAAAGTACAGCTTTCTTGCAGGTTAATGCACCGTTAACCGAGAAGACCTAGGGACGAGGTTGAGTTGTCTTGGTTGTGAAAACAAAAATGGCGGACATTTCACTCGTTTCAAGAGTAAGAACTAGGCGAAATGATAGCTAAAAACATGGCAAGAACAGCAAGAAGACAACTCGAAGGGCGACATCTGCTATTTGGAGAATATTTGCGGATCTTAACAACTCTAGACGTGCACTATCGAAGATGAACTTAACATCGATCTGATCGATGGAGGTAAGCATGTTTTTAGCCATGTTTTTAAACTAGGAATTATTTTGGATGATTAATAAAACAATTATTGAATTCGGCTTTCGTATCATATGAAGAATAATGGAGATCTCAATCGGAGGGTGTTATCCGCCTCGGCCCACGGCCTCGAAGGATAACACTCTCCTCGATCTCCATAATTCTTCATAAGATACTCAGCCTCATTCATTAATTGCTTAACTACCCAATTAGATTCATTAACGCACCACTACATTCCACTGTTCAGTCTTGTTAAGGTTTGGCACAGCGAGGTCTCTACGAACCCGAGTTTCAGCTGCTGTAGTGGTGACAAAGCATTTAGACGCCAAACATATTGCAAAGGTTTAGACAAATACTGTCTCACGCCTCAGTCATGGTGTATTTAGTGGTGACAACAGATGAATTCCGCCAGTCTCATTCCCAGAATATGTTAGATAGTGTGCCGCATCCTTCACGTACTCTATCAACAACTTAATGGCATTATATTTCTCCATAACAGAAGCACGCAAAAGTGACGATAGTTTTTAGCAAAGCCCATAGTGAATCCATTGAAAGATCGTTTGTTGACTACCTACCTTTCTTTTGCAGTTGGAATGTTAGGGCGTCCAGTCCTAATTTATTCTTTGCTGTGCATACATAGCGAGTGAAATCCTTGTCATTCACAGGAGTTACAGTCAAAGTGCTTGCATTGCCGCTACTGTTGAAGCCCTCGTATATAATTTCATCGTCTTTGTGCCAGTAAAACGTCGGTGAAGGATTTCCATCTGCTTCACACCGCAGCGTTATCGGATTTCGTTTCAGCAGAGCAACAGAAATGAGCTTTCTTAAAGAATGAATTTTTGGTTTATCTGCAGTGAAATGAGACGTTTTAATTCATATCTAGACATTGTAAACACTTAACCAAATCAGTTAAAGGATCAGTTAGCTCACAGCAAAAAACAATGCTACATCTAGTGTTTGTTTTCATATATAATCGAAAAACCTGAAACTATTAAATAATTGCAATTTTATGATTTGGTAACAAACATTGAAAATGAATGAAATTAAAGAAAGAAAAATTTTAAATATAAGGCTATAGGGCTAGAAATTGCCTTTTTGTAACGGTTTAGTCTCCGACCGTAGAAAAAGCTTAATTGGCATAAAGGATTGCAGTGTAGTTAGCTATTAGCTTATGCTTTATTTGTGTATATATCGAATTATGCATGAAAGCACTTACATGGGATGCCTGGCGAGTACACCTCTAGCATTTCTGGGATTCTCTTACTTATTCTCTTGAAACTTATGCATCAGTCAATTCCAGCTGCGCCCAACCACCCCCGGGCATTAGCATTTTTTTTTGCCTTGGATGGCAAATTTCCGGGGGTGGGGACTCTTAAGCTGTCAAATCCCCCGGCGCTAGGATTCTAATTAAGACTTCACGCTGCGACGACATGCACCAGTTTATGGTTTTAGTATTGATATAAAATTATTGACATTAAAATTAATTAATAGAGCGCTGTGAAGCTATATGTTATGAATAGCTTATAAATATGAAAGGATGTTCTCCAAATAATATCAACAGCCTAATTTGTTTCACTGACCAAAAAACGTTGATTCATATCGATAGCTCCCGAGTTTCGCTATGTAATTCTTATATTCTGACAGGAAATCGCGTGCGTGTCAAAAGCTCTGGAATAGCCCTGGGTTTGGCGAATGCCCAGCCCCCGGGCAGCGCAAAATTGGCAAATGCTCCACCCCCTGGACTGAAAAGGCGGGCAAATACCCCGCAGTAGCCCGGTGGGAGGGGACTGAGCGCAGCTGGAACTGCCGGACTGATGCATAAACGCGGAAATCTTCAACTCGATAAACGCACGCCCCTGAAGAATGAAACAGCTTTTAAATATTAGTCTTACTGTTTGTTTCAGTACTCACAGAGCACATTAATAGTTGTGATGGGCGACGTAGTATTTCCAGCCTGGTTTATAGATACGCAAGAGTAGTTCCCTCCCTGTAATCTGTTCACATTTGTAAGAGATAAAAACTTGCTTTGCTCTGCATAAACGGGAACTCTGTCTTTAAACCACATCACATATGATCTCGCTTCCACGCTGGTACGACAAGTGATGTTTACGTCATCCCCTTCAATGACATCCAGAGTTATGTGTCGAGTATCTGGAGGTTAAAGATCAATTGAACATCTCACCTTGTGTGTGTGTGTACTGCCCACAAGCAGGTCCTTCCTCATAGTTCTCGATCTAAGGCGCGCCTCTAACTTTCATTTATTATCACTATTTTGGGATGGCGCTTATAGACTGAACTGTGGCTGGGCGATATTATATAAGGCCGCTTAAAGAAAAGTGGTATATCCATAAGAAAATTTTAGGGTACTGACTGTGTTGTGATGACCTTTGATAGATAGAGTAATTTAAACACAATTACTGACAGGACATATTACTACAGAAAACCACGCAAGTATATGTAGTCCGTAATATCAATTCTAAATTAGGCGTTATAAAAACTTACCAATATACGGCTTGGGCGTTGGATCCTAGGACGAAAACAGGAACAGTAGTTAGGTCTAATGTGTTTCAAATATGAGCTATAAATTAAAATGACTAATGATGTGATCAATCCATCGCAGGTTCGCCAGTCAAAGTTCTCAGTGTATGTGGCTAATTCGTTACAAAATTCTCAGCACTTTAATCAAAAACCATAATCTTAAACGCAAAAATTTCTTTGTTACTTGACACTATGGAGAGAGTTAGCGAGGTGCACTTCAACCTCGCTCTTAAATCGTAAAAAAGTCCAGCTTAGTCATTGATGTACGCTGCGTTATTCAACAGTTTCGTATAGGATCGAAAGTTAAGAAATAAAGAATGCAAATTTTTACACGGTTTGATATTTCTGTATTTGACACTTAAGGCGACATATATAACGTCATCACGTCATGTATAAAGACAAACTCGCCATCTTTGGTGACCCATATAGTCAAGGATAACCGGGAGACCATCGGAGCAAAATCGGAAACCCTAATAAATGATGTCCAGTTTCAATAGCGATATTCGGCAAAAAAGCAATCGCAAAATTGATTATAGGACCGCAGACAAGGTGGGGGGGTGGGGGGGGGGGGGGGGGGAATCTTTCCATTGTCTGTCTGAAAAAAAAACTCTTCTTACTTGAACAATAAGAGAGAACCAGTTCTGTAAGACGATGGGAGGGAAATGGTCAACACGGAGCCTCATTCCATAATCTCCAGCATCTTTGCGCTGAATATTGACAAGTTCAAAAGCGATATAGTAGTCACGAGACAAGTCTCCGTTCCAATGCAAACGCCTCGCAGTCGATTGATTTGCTCTAGCCACAGTTTCATTTTCTCCAGATGGTTCTTGTTTAACAGTTATGAAAAATGACTTCACTATTTTGTATTTCCGATCCCAAGGACCAAACTGAACTTGTAACTGCTTTGACTTATCTTTCTCTCCGAGGGACAGCTTCCAGGTGAATATTTGGTTTGATCCTGTCGCTGCTATCGTACTGTTGTTTGGCTCAGAATCAAAAGCTAATCCGTGGACTTTGACAAATGCTGAAACTGAATACGAAACTGATTACTTCAAAGAAGGCATTTTATCACGTTAGGTAAATGCAAGTGTAATATAAATCACCTTGTCACCAAGTCAGTTGAAGTTTTTCAATACTTAAACTTTCATACCTCCTAACAATAAGTATAACTATTAATTTTCCCAGCTATGTAAGTTGTTTTTCAGCACTAATAGCAACCGGTCTTAGCTAGGAGCAGTCTAAAAAACCTGAATCTTTCGTAAATTGGCAATCAGTTCAACTTAATACTCAGTAATTTAATTTGTACTCTCGCAGCATGACCCTGAAGCGTTTAGCTGAAACTTGCACCCTGTATCTATAGTAAGAATGTTTCTTCATCTGGAACGTTTTCAAATCAGGATCCGCTGCCAGACACTTCCAGCTAAAGTAGACTGCCCTTCTTCTCCTAGAGCGCTCGCAGGGTCGCACTCATGATAAATCACGAGCTATCTTGTATAATAAACTTTGCGAAACCTGGTTTCAGTATAGGCTACGTAAAACCATTCGCGACGGAAGAAGTGTTTTCCTCAAAGTTACACCGCAAGTCTTCACTTTAAAAATTTCGGTGTGTAGCAGTATTTTCAGTTTAATTCAATGTAATCTTTAGTTACGTAAATAGAGAATACTTCATGGAAAGTGCTGGCGTACGGTATTTACGCACGAGTTGTTGACGTATCAGAAATCGAACGAGTGAGCGCAGCGAACGAGTAAGATTTCTGATACAAAAACAACGAGTGCGTAAATACCGTACGCCAGCACTTTCCATGTGGTATTGTGTTCATTATATACATACTGAGACATTCATCATTTTGGCAGCCTTTTTATTTTAAATCTTTCAAAAATGCTAAAATTTGCCGCTACACACTTACCGCAAAATGACAACGAAAACGAAGTATCAGCTTTTTGGTAAAAACGTTTGTTAAAAACATAAATGACGGTAAGGATATGGGGTAATCCAAGAACTATAAGTAATCTTAACTGTTTGTTCTCAATGCACAATTGAAAATGAGTGAATTTAAGTAAAATGACCGGTTTCAATATAAGCTTAAGCTTAAATGAAGGCAAAGTAGCTCCGACAAAAAGCACAACAAAAGCTTACGTCTCGTTCTGTTTTTCCCTTTCCGCTGTTGTTTCGCCGGCTGTCTACCGTTTTCTTTATCGACAGTGAAACAAACGAAACTATTCCACTCCATTTCCGAAATGTTTTTCACTTTTTTAGTGAGAAAAACTCTTTGAGTAAAACTTTTCTCGTTGAATGTGTGCGAAGCGGCGCTGCAAGCTGCAATAAAAGGCGGGAATTTTGGCGCGAAACTCACACACCTCTGTGGCTTCTGATTGGACGTATCATTTTTCTCACACGTGAAAAAACATCGTTCGCGATTCTGATTGGACGTATCATTTTTTTCACGTGTGAAAACCATCGTTCGCTCCTCTGATTGGCTAGAATTCATTTGCGTACGAAAATTTACGACATAGCTTTTTGGTGAGTATTTCTCAGTATGTATATAATAAATAAGATTCCCCCACCCAATTGTTTTTCCTCTCGTACTTTTCAGATTAACGAATCATGAAGATGAAAGTTAAATAATAATAATTTGATATGTATCCTCCTTTAAAGAAACTAAAATTGCATGAAAAATTTTCATAAGAGTAATTGAGAATGATACTTACATAACATAATTAGGAGAAAGGTGGTCTGCAAATTGAAGCCAATATTCATGACTGGTTTGCAGTTCAACAGTAATGACATCAAACTCATCGGTTGAACATCATCTTTTTTTGGAACTATTAGATAAGATCTGAAACAAAAGCTGGCGACGAGAACAAAAGACACCTTTCAGGCTATGTGGGTCACAAGATTCAACCAATCAGAATGCGTTATTAGTCTCGCTGGCGTAAGCAGCGAGATTCATAATCTGCAGCGCGTTTTTCGCCCCGGGGGTGGGTGGGTAGTCCCTTATATAGTCTATCTAGGTATGTGCGACGCCAAAGGGTATGGTTTTTTTAGCCGTTTTGGTCTATATTCGACCATTTTGGTCTAAAATAGGGTACGGTTTGTGCACTCTAGTCTTGAATTGGGTATGTTTTTCAGAAGAATTAGCTTTTTCTTCATCATTTGGCGATAAGACCATTTCCCTTTTAATGTTTACCTTATTATAGGAAATTAACGCTCCATGAAATTAAGGTATTGGAAATTAACGCGAATTTAATGGAAAACGACTTTCGAATAAAGAAAATTAACGCGAAAGAGGAGGTAGAATTTCATAATAAAGGAAATTAACGCGATTAAGACAGTTGGTGGTGACAACTGCAACAAATTTAATTCAACAATGGATGCAAAAAAATTCAAAACTGAACAAAACTGAGCTGACATCACTTCTGACAGCGACAAGGATGAAGATGAACTCGAAATATTGTAAACATTCGCCTTAGCTTTTGTGAAAGATGAAAAATAAAGGGTAAATGGGAAGAAAGAAAGCTTGTAGTTAATGGTTTTTAGGTGTCAAGAATGTCTGGACAGGTTCTAAAATTGGAGTTAAAATACTGAAAATTAAGAGCGCGGAAATTAACGCTGCACTAAATTAACGTCGCGGAAATTAATGCTCAAGAAAATTAACGCGACTTAAATTAACGCGAATTTTAACGATTCGCGTTAATTTCATAGAGCGTTAATTTCCTATAATAAGGTACGCCAACTACCATGTACGTGCCGTAACAGCTTGTCACGCGCTCCGATCACGCGCCGGGCTCCAAGGCTTCAGGTCTGGGTATCGAATTTTTGATTAGGTCTGAAACAGGGTAGGGAAAATCACAGATTTTGGTGTGAAATAGGGTAAGAGTTTCAGGAAACGTGCAGCACACCCCCACCCAATTTTTCTGGAAGTATCCCCCCGGAATTGTTGGTCATTTTTTTGGGACACAAAAGGCAGGTCATTGTGCCAGGCGTTCCTTGTGGATACCGTGGAAACTGGGACTAAGAATCGCTGCGTGATGGAGGCCACGCATGTTTAGGAAAGATTAAATTTAGAGCTTTTCCGAAACGTGTCGGTCCACGAATTCTATCGCTTGAAAGAGTTGATTATTTTGGAGCAAGTGAACACTACCTGAGTGGTCGAAAAAAAAACAGAATCTTAATTAGCAAAATTGCGATGGTCAAGTGTTGTAAACTTTCACTGTATGCAAATGAGCGTCGTGATGAGCATGCGATTTATTTTCGGCGATGATTGAAGTGATGTGCCATGTCAATCACTTTTTCGATACCTGGCAATGATGCAATTTCTGTCGAATCGAGGCCCTTGAATTTTCGTGTATTTCAGTACACGAGTATATCGTGCGACCGCAGATGTATTTCCGGTCGTCGCTAACAAGCGTACTAAATCAATTCAGAAACAAATAAAAAGTATCGACGTCGATAAAGTAGGAAGTAAAAAACCTTTAGCGAGTAAATCATACTTTTCTTGTAGAATTAATCGCCTCCTCATTTCTCGATCTAATCTCGAAGCAGGCCAGAGGGGATGCCGCTGTAAGCGCGCTCTTGGTTGTAGAGTGATTTTTGCGCTTGCGAAGAGCCGTTTTCAGATTTTCCCTTTATTCCAAGCTTGTGTGGGTAATTTCCACACTATAAGGCCGTGGAGAGTTGTTGGAACACTTAATCTTGATAGTAGTTACGTTACTTTTAAATGTTTTGATTTCTTGAGCATTTGTGACAAGTTTGAATTTCTCGGTCATGTGCAAGTCACCACAATGATTTGAGTGTTGTTTTTGTCGCTCTTCTTGGATTTATTGCTGGTTACTGTTAGCGGTTTTATTGGACTATTTCGGTCAACTTGTTACCTCAACCTTTTTTATTGGATTATTTCGGTCAACTTGTTACTTCAACCTTTCTCCTTTGTACATTTCGGGGTCTACCCGGGTCTACCCCTGTTAGTTTTCCCTTTATGAGCCGTTGAAAGAGTCGTTGGAATTTACGAGATCGTCTCAGCTAAGTAGCAGAACTCCTCCAGGAAACGGGCTGAGAAACTTGCCGAAGCCGAAGCCGACGTGAAGCGAGTAACGCCAAATCCACGAAGAGTTTGTTCCATTTTAAACCAGAAAAGGTAAATAAGTTTGAATCTTGTAATACCCTTTGGAAACAAAACATTTGTCGTAACCCAGCCTGCGGAAACTAAAAGCGTGACTTTAAAACAATTTGCATGTAGTGTGTGCTATGTGTATGCAAATCTTTACGTAAGCTTACGTGAAGGAATAAATTGTTATAAATCTCTACCAAAACACAAAACCATTATCGAAGATCTAGACAACATCATACAGGTTTTTTAAACTGTGAGGTTAGCTTTATAACGAAATCGATACACTGCGCTCACTTCAAAGAACGCACAGAGAAGATTGTGGTTTCTTTCTACGGTTGTAGCTTCGGTGAAATTCCCATTATGCTGTAGCTGTTCGGCTCTTTCGGTCTGTTTTCCCCTTGCACATAAGGATTACAAACGGGCACTGCTTGCAAAATGATACAAACATGTCGATGAACATAAAATTGTTATGAGAGACGATTTCTCACCTCGATGTTTGCTCCCGCTCCTCCTCCTTGCCCGGTAATAAAGTCTGTCTCGATCTGTCAAATATATCGTCGGAAACTGGATAATAGGCATGAGGCTCCGTTCACCATAGAGGGATAAGAGCAAGCTAAAAATATATTGAAATCGAATTACGGGAAAAAGAGTGAAATTGTAAGAGCATATGTGGATAACATCAACGCCCTTCCGACTGTTCACAGATCCCAACCAAGCAAGATTCACCAGTTCTGCCAAACTTTAAAGTATAATGTGCAATCCCTGAAAACACTGGGCAAGCTGTCGGATTGTTTATCTATGGTTCGGGGTGTTCTTGACAAGTTGCCCGGTATCAAAGGCCAACTAGTGAGCAAGACTGGGGATTTGGAGAACTACTACAGGCTTTAGAAGAATGGAAGGAAATTCATCCTCTAGAAATGGTCCAAAACAATACATCTCCGCCCTTACGTCTTCCTCGTGTCAAAACTTTTCACTCGCAAGAGAAAGATCCGGCACGGCAAGTGTGCGTTTATTGTGATTGCGTGACACACAGATCTTGGGAATGCGATAAAATCGCATCGCCAGCCGACCGCCGACAGATTTTGCAGAACAAAAAGCTGTGTTTTGACTGCACGGGATCCAAACACCATGCACCTCAATGACGCAGTCGTGGGACATGTGTTCACTGTAAACAAAGACACCATTCATCAATTTGTGATAAAGGAGAGAGAAGAGGTCAGCAAACCGACAACGGGGGAGTGGCTCTAACGAGCGTCTCTAGGCGGGGAGAAAGTATGCCACCCTGTTTTCTTAGTGAAAGTGAATGGCATAACCTGCCGAGCTCTTCTTGACACCGGCTGGTCAGTCACCTTCTCACTGCCATTTTTTGTAGGAGAATGGGCGCTTCAACATAATCGTCCTCTGCTTCCATTATCGAGAGTAAAAAGTCACGAAAATTTTTTTCAAAAGCTCTTTTGGAGAGTTGACGAAATTCGTTAGGAATTGCGTTCCAAAGTTTAGCTCCAAACCGAAAGATAACATAGTTTGACTTTTTAGCATTGAGCGTTAACTTATTTACATTGAGCAAGTCCGAGACTTTGAGCAGTTCGCTATTGACGGTTTTTTCAAGAGATTTCAAATTAGTGTCAGCATACAACAAGCTCGTGTCATCAGCAAAGAGATAGAATGACAATTTCGCTGAAGAGTGGTGAATATCGTTAATATAGATTAAGAATAACAGAGGACCAAGCACAGACCTCTGTGGGACACCACATGAGATCATACATTCGGTAGATAAGTTAAAACCCACTTCAGTTACTTGTGAACGACCGAGAAGGTACGAGGCAAACCCAGGCATTGATAATTCCCCTGATGCCATAATGATTAAGTTTTTTAAGCAAGATTAAGTGATCGATGGTATCAAAGGCCTTTTTTAAGTCTAAAAAGATCCCGCAAGTAAAAAGTTTTTGGTCCACATTATTTGTATGACATTAACGATATCAATAAAGGCATGTTGCCTGGAATGGTTTTCGCGCAAGCCATACTGTGACTTAAATAGAATATCGTTTTTACCAAGATAGGATTTGAGGCGGTGGTACATTAATTTTTCAAATATCCGATTAAAAGTAGAGAGTAATGATATCGGACGATAATTACCAGGTTCAGTCTCATCGTCATTTTTGTACACAGGAACAACTTTCGTTTTTTTTCAGTTTGGATGGAGAGATGCCCTTTTGCACAGATATGTTTTTGATGATGGAGAGAGGGCCCGAAATAACGCATCTTGCGTCAGTTAAAATACGAATCGGACAAGAGTAGAGACCGTAAGTTTTATTTTTAGGGATCAAAAGTATCTCACGCTCAATTTCCTCTGGCGTAACTGGATCAAAGAAGAAAGAGCTTGGATTATAATTGGGAGACAAGTATTCGGTAAAATAGCGAGATGAACGAGGCACGCGTGAACCAAGGTTTTTACCTACCGAAGAAAAGTAGTTATTGAAGTCAGTCTCGTATGATTCAGGTTACTTGCTGGACCTATTGAAACTAGTTTTCACACGTTCGCTCAAACGACGTGTCCAAACTATCGTGGGCGTTGTAACTAAACGGAACGAGCTCTATGATGTCAACGTGAGTGATACTGACGGAAACCACACCATTCCACTGAACGTTACGAGAGTTAAGCGCGCTCAACTATTATCTATAGAAAACTCCAGCTTCACGGAAATGATCCAAAGATACCAGCATCTGAAGGGGGTTAAAATGGAGGATACCGACGGAAAGAGTCTACTTCCTGTTCATGTGATTCTAGGAGCAAGTTACTACGCAAAGATTACAACTCGAGAAGCACAACGCCCTGGAGCCATAGGAGAGCCTGTCGCCGAATATACTCGTTTTGGGTGGGCTATTTTGTCGCCTGGGTCAGAAGCAGACTTGGACAGCATGTTTCTTGCGCATCCAGTGACTATGAACAGCTGTACAGGATGGACGTCCTTGGACTTGAAGACTCCCCTAATGGAGACCGGAATGTCGTCTATGCTGAATTCCCCGAACAGCTCAAGCGCAGTCCTGAGGGATGGTATGAGACAGGCTTTCCCTGGAAGGGAGATCATCCTCCCTTACCAACGAACAAATCAGGGAGCATGAGGCGACTTGAAAGTCTAGTGAAACGACTGAAGAAGGCTGGAAAACTAGACGACTACGATGCTATCATTAAAGAACAACTACAAGAAGGAATTATAGAAGAAGCACCACTGGTTGCGACTGGGCAAGAGTTCTACATCCCCCACAAAGCTGTTGTCAGGGAGAGCGCCGAAACCACGAAGATGCGAATCGTGCATGACGCTTCGGCGAAAGCGCATGATTCAGCGCCTTCTTTAAACGACTGCCTTGAAGTAGGACCACCACTACAAAATCAACTATGGAAAGTACTTTTGCGAGGCAGGTTTCATGCTTTCGCCCTCACTGGCGACATCCGTGAGGCGTTCCTCCAAGTGCGTATCAGCGCGCAGGACCGTGATACCCTCCGGTTTCACTGGATGGACAAGGAAGATCCTTTGCGAATTCACACGTACAGGCACTAGGGCGCTCTTTGGCCCGGGACCCTCGCGTTTCCTCCTTGGGGGAGTGATCAAACAGCACCTTAACCATTGTCGAGCTGACCACCCTGAGTGTGTGGGTAAGATCGAACGCGAACTATATGTAGACGACCTGCTGATCAGTGGGTGGACTGTAGAAAAGGCCAAACAACTGGGAACTTCGGACAAGCCACCCTTTGTCTACATAAATGGCACTCAAATGTGAAAGAGCTAGAACTGGATGGATCAACAGAGAGCGAAGACGAGTTAACCTATGCTAAGCAGCAACTTGGCGTCAAATCTAGTGAATGTGGGCTTCTCGGATTAAAGTGGAATAAGCTAACTGACCAAATGTGTCTCAACTTTCCAGCAGAGGTCGCTCAGCCTACTAAGAGAGAGCGGTCTTAAGGCCTTCTGTTACCACGGCAGACACTGTGGCGGACAGGGCAGCAACATCAATCGACACGGTGCCTTGGCTCGAGCTCGACGTGGCGTGACTAGCTGGTAGTGCGACATTGTCGGAAATGGCCATCGACTTGGCCGTGGAGGACCGACCCAGTTTTGCTGTAGGAGCGGTGCCTGCAGAAGTCTTAGTGGAGGAACACTTGCTAGGAGGAATCTCTTTTACGGAATAAAATTGGTAGTGAAATATGAGAAAAACAGACAGACAACTACGCGGTATGTGGGACCACTAAAGTAACGGAGACAGTTTTGTCTTCAGCTACCAAGCATTGTTGTCTGACGAACGACATAAAATATCAGTTGAGAGGAGCACCTGCACGAACAATAATCACCTAAAGGCTAGGGTGTAATTGCAAAAGGAATATAATATAAAAAACCAAGATAATTTAAACTGAAACGCAGAATACAATGTAATTTCGGCCAAAAATAAAACAAGTGCCTCAACAGAATGCCAAGGGCATTCGACACACCCCGGAAGGGCGATCAATGGGTTGTACACTGAATAGGCAAAGTGATTCCACAAAACAACAACGCGAAGGCCATAATATGTACGGGTTGTTTCAACCGCGACTTGAACACAAATCTTATTCTACTGTCTAAAACTAGTAGTTTCCAGTGGAAAGTGAAGTGCTGGGAGTAAAGCATGACATTTCAAATAATTTGCATCAGTTGCAGTTCATTTCGATTGTTGATATTTGACATTAACCGTATTAACCTAAACGACACGAAGGCGATCGATAAAAACTGAACTTTGAACCAAAATAAGTGTTTATATCAAGCGACACTGTATGAAAGTCCGTGAGAATAAATCAGGGCATTATTTGTCTGAAACCTGTCCACGATAAAGTTAAGAGCACGCGAGCGTTAGAGTGAGAGAAAGAGTGAATTTCCAATCGAGTTCAATATTAAACTGGTTCATAAAGCATCGCGAGCGTATCAAATCATTTTCAATCTTTGCTTCCGTCGTGTATAAAACGTTTTAATACCAAGGGAAAACAAATCTTGTCACACTTTCTAGAAAACTTTTAATAACGAAAGCAATTTATCAATTAAACAAATACGACAAAGCCTGGCTGAATACAAATTTAGCCAAAACACCGACTTTATTTACCGTAGGGTTCCAGGAATTGCTCGAAATATGCTGAGAAACGTATCACTTTAATTCACAGGAATTTTTTACCTTCACTTGCATCCATACTCTTCGCTTTCAAAAACGTGGCTTTCTATACCAAACAGGATTTCTCCCGGGCTTTAAGTTTTCCACATCACACTTTATTTGTGTTCTCAACGTTCCTTTGTTTTCTTTCTGAATCGATTGACTGCGAACGAAAGAGCCTCGATTTCGAGGGTCGTACTTGAAATGGAGGCAAATGCGGTGATATACATACATACATAGATACATACACACATACATACATAACGCATATGTAACGTTCATCTTTTATCTGTATTCATTTTCCTTTTATAGCCCCCGTTGAAGATTTGTGTTGCAAACCGAAATATAATTCACCACTTTATTTTTGTATTTTTGTTATCTCCCTCTTTCTTTATTCCCTCCATCAGCCCCCAACCCCTTCCCCCCCCCCCCACACACACACACATCAGATTTCCAGCGGCCAAGAGCACGGATTTTCGCATCTGAGTAACCCCAAACAGCAGCATGACAAGCGACACCAATACGAAAAGTGTGACTTTCGTAGCGACTGGTGTCTAACCCACAATAAGCTAAACAACGCTGTGGTTCCACATTAAACTGGTGAGCAAATCGATTGCTCTTGGCGGTAAGTTCGCCTATGCGAAATAAACCATAGAAGGCCACAAGAAAAAGTGCCAAAAAGAGATAACGCTGAAATGTCCAAGAATTTTAATAGTGAAACTAAGTGCACGAACCAGCTCATGTGAAACAGGTCTTGTCACCGGAAGACGTATGTCAACTGGCTGTCGACGGGCTGAGAGCCGTTAATAGCTTCTGAATTCATTAAAAACGATTTTGTGGAGCCAATTTACGAAATGTAAGATAACAGATAAATAAGGGGAGGCAAGTAGGAGGTACGGGCAAATGAGGATCATCAGAAGCGTAAAATTGGCGAAAAATACTCCACGCACGCTGATACAAGCACCTGGAGCCGGCCGTTAAAGAGGAACTTAAAAGAGTTCTCAAGTTAGCACACAATTCTTCGGTATTAGGTTCTCGGGTATCTGAGTGGGAGATTCCTCGGCTTCAGGGAAGATGTCCTTGAAGTTCACTACCTGAGGCGTGACCGTCCTGGAGAATATCAGCTACCTCAGCATCTAAGGCGGCGCCAACAGAGCTGGAGGATTCCAAGGCCAGTGGTTTTAACGGGATAGGGGGTCCAGTGTTTTTTAAAATACCAGTCAAGGTTTTGGACGAGAGAGTGGTTTTAAGGGCTTCGGATACCACGACAGACACTGTAGCGGACAGGGCAGCAACATCAATCGACACCGTGTGCCTTGGCTCAAGCTCGACGTGGCGTGACTAGCTGGTAGTGCGACACTGTCGGAAATGGCTATCGACGTGACCGTGGAGGACCAACCCAGTTTTGCTCTAGGAACGCTGCCTGCAGAAGTCTTAGTGGAGGAACGCTTGCTAGGAGGAATCTCTTGAACAGAGTAAAATTGGTTGTGAAATATTAGAAAAACAGACAGACAGCTATGCGGTATGTGGGACCACTAAAGTAACGGAAAAAGTTTTGTCTTCAGCTGCCAAGCATTGTTGTCTGAAGAACGAAATAAAATATCTGTTGAGAGGGCCGGACCACCTGCACGAACAATGATCACCTCAAGGCTAGGGTGCAATTACAAAACGAATATAATATTAAAAAACCAAGATAATTTAAAGTGAAACGCAGAATACAATGTAATTTCGGCCAAAAATAAAACAAGTGCAATATCACAGAATGCATTAGACACACCCCTGAAAGGGCGATCAATGGGTTGTACACTGAATGGGCAAAGTGATAGCACAAAACAACAACGCGAAGGGGAAATTTTATCGTCTGGGTCTTGGATATGTCTTGAGAACAAAAGAGTTTCCCTTGACAGCTACCCCAAAGGGATAGCTAGGGAAAAATGAAATACCGAGGTTGCTGGCCGATGGACGCTTATCGGCGAAAGTCTTGATGACAGAACCGGGCATAGCTCATGCTGTGAAAGATATTTGCGGGGCACGAGTCGTCTACGTCTTCACCTTTCTTCACCTTGCACGTTGAATTAGCGTAAGAAATAACAGTGAGATAAAAGAAAAAACGTCTCTTTGATCAGCTAGATCCCTGCGCATATTGCCTTCTTAAATTTACGCTCCCAAAAAAACAACTAGCGTGAAAACCTTCAGAGCCGATATCCGTAGTGTGACCTTTCCAGAATTTTTCACCTAAGTAAAACAAAACCCGAGATGAATTTACCTCGGGCGATTTTTGATGAATTTGACCTAGTAGTGTGACCACAGCTAATATGTACGGGTTGTTTCAACCGCGACTTGAACACAAATCTACTGTCTAAAACAAAATGCTTTGACAGAGGTGCTGAACACACACAGCATCAAAGTAAGTTGTTCCAACGCCGTAAATCACGGTCGAGACCGCAAGAAACAGTGGGCCAAGTATGACAATCGGCCTCGCGGAAAAATATAGCCGTTCAATTGAATGACATTCTCACTTACACAAATTGAATCAGGTTAGCCAAAGTAATTAAATTTGATCAAATTGGATAACTAAGGAAAAGCACAGTAGATTAATAGACAAGACGTAAATTGGATCACATCGAGCCAGTGAAGCAATTCGTTGTAATTTTCTAATTTGGCTGAATTTCGTGACACAGCTCCTTTAAGGTGGACACCATCGCGTGTAAAAAACGGGATTTTCAGTTCCAAAAACCTCTTTGTCGCCAGTAAAGAGCATAAGGAATCTGCTCCAACACTACTTTGAGATATTTGTTAGTAACATAACTTGGCGATTGATTAAAGGAGCATTACCGCGAAAAGTAGTCTGGCAAACACAGACCCTTGGCACACCGTATGACTCATGTAGCAAACGAGATAATTCCTCGAGAGGTGAGCCAGTTTCAACGGTGAAAAGGGAAGACAGATGATTGGTGCCCAACTGGTCGACGACAATCTCTGGGGCAAATGTCTCTACTATTCCTAGATCATGTCGGATCAGTTTAGAAATAGTTCTTCCCCCGATGCCATGCCATTTGATGGAAAGATCCCCATCTATATGCAAATTTCTAAAATTTTGACGTAGAAAAACTTGTAAACGGCGAATGAAGAAGTGGCCGAGAATCAAAATTTGCGTTGGTGCCATATAAAACGATGTCTAAGGAAGAAATGAAAACTAGTTAGTACTTGCCTGAAAAGTTGAAAGGGAGCTGTCTTTGATAAAGTTTTTCTGGGGATGTGTTCAATATGATGGCGAGAGGAGGAAGGAAAATATTGCGCTAGAATTCCATTTCATACCAGGCATGTGACGTACTTAAACCGGATTGGCCAAACTAATGCTATTATCGAATCCGTGCCTGGTACAAGCCAACCCCAGCGGAATATCACGTGCGTACCACGCCTCGATATATATTACATTATGTCGCCATAACGCTTTTTTCGCAGAAACTTGGGCAGTGTAATGTAATTCAAGCATTTGTGTTACGTGTAACTTGTTATTCAGATGATTAGGGATATGCGCAGGCAATCATATATCGATGAAGTCTGTGCAATATAAATACAATCCTAACCAGTATTTTGCTTCCCATTCATGTCACAAAATCTAACTGAGCGTTTTGACACATCAGTTACGTATGTCGGTTTCTTTGTTTGTATATGTGGACCATGGGGGAATTCAAGACATGTAATGTCCACGTCTATAAAGCTTGATATCAACGAGATCGCTTTTGTTTTTTAGCTTCTTAAAATTTTTCCTATAAACCAAAAAGATAAGTACCGTCCACTTTTGAACACGTGGGCGCAGCCAAGCCGTTGCGCAATTATTAAAGTCGATGGTAGAAGTGGAACTCGGAGCATGTCGGAGAGCGTCTAAGAACACGTTGGGAGCTTGCTCTTGAACATATTTTCAGAAATCCTTCTAGCTTAATTCTGATTTATTAGTTTCCTTCTAAACCCTACAAACAAAGGGGGTACATTTTAGCGTTTAGTGAAAATGTCGTCAGTATTGCTCCGTTCATATCCAAGTTTGCTGGGTATGCAAATTATCAGATTTGATACAGGGCAGTTCCCAACAGGAAAGCACTAGATAGCATCGACCGAAACCAAATGAGTCATCGATATGTCAGCGCCGTCTTACAAAATGGCGAACTGATCCCGACTTCCGCTCACTTGATTGATATACCGCAGCGAGTTAGTTTGAGTTATAAAACGGTCAATATCGTCGTTTTCAGTTTACAAAAATCTTAAATCTGTAATAGACTCAGCTGTATTGCATTGAACGACGCGGCTTATGGTCTTCCCGCGGAACGTTGGTTTCGGTCGATGTTATTTAGTGTCAACACGTCACGAAATCCTATTTAACATCGACCGAAACGCGAAACCTAACCGGAACTCGGCTGCGGCTCCGAAAAAACCTGAATGAAATAAATCCCGCGAGAGTGCAGATCCCACCCCAGCTTTTGGCTGTCATTAGAGTCTCAAACACTTGTTTTCCACCCGGGGGGGGGGGGACTCCACGTATGAAATGGGTGGGCAAAACGCCATCATATTTAGCCGTGAAGGTCTCGTTTAGGGTTGCATGCAAAAAAATATATAGAGGATATTACACGGTGGCGAGAAGATATGAATTTTATTTTTGAGTGGCAGAACAATATTTTACGAACGAGCACAGCGTGTCTATAGACACGAGTGTTTTACTGGAAACGTAAAATTCATAAAAACTACATCCGGGACCCGAGTGGTTTATTTTCCATGATCTCACACTTGAGTTTATCGATGACGTAATTTTGGTAATTTCCCTCTATTATTTTATCGATGTCTTTTTGTCCATATACAATAAAAAGAACATTACACGGCGGCTTGAAGATATGAATATTGTTTTCTCGTGGCAAAAACAATATTTTACTCACTCACTGCGCTCGTTCGTAAAATATTGTTCTGCCACTCGAAAATAAAATTCATATCTTCTCGCCACCGTGTAATATCCTCTCTATATATTTGATATGTATATTTTTTCGTCTCTTTTAGGGGTCAAAAAACTCTTGGGCCACGCCCAGATCGGTCTCCTTTAGGGGTTTAATGCAAAATTTCCGACGAGCATCCCCACCCCTTTCATATGTAGAGTTCCCCCCCCCCCCGGGGTTTTCCAGCCTTTTGACTTTCACCCAAGAAAGTTGGATCTTGTTGACTGTAGTAGTGTCGACCGATCTGTCGGTCGATATAGCGGTCGATAGTCGGTCGATTTTGGGGCGGCACATACCAGATAAGCGAGTACCCTCTCTCCCACTCCTAGTTTTTGACCACAACATTGTCCCAAATAAATATTCTTTAAGCAATTTTTTAGCATTGCCGGCAGGTAGAACAAGCCATTTTAGGACTTTTAGGAGAAGCTGTCTGTGTCCCTTTTGAAGTGAAGAGTAGGACACCAATCGGAGACTGCAGCTTAGCCTCGCTGTGGTCCCCCGCTGTTCGACTGGTAATCTCGTACCCAGATCTCTTGTATTTTTAAGTACTTGCGGTCGAGTTACGCACGTCCAGTTCTCGACGTCGATTGGATCAGCAGAGTCAATAGGACGCTGGAAAGTGGTGAGTTAATTTGAAACAAGAGCCCATAAGGTTATGGACTCCTGTTTAAAAATAATACTTTGTTACATTTCGATTTTCAATTTCTCTTGGGTTGTCAGTCTAAGGACTTATTCAAAGGGTGTAAATAGTGCAGTATTCCTCTCCTTGTCAGCGTAATTTAAGCTGTGTCCCGCCCACCCATTCAATTCTTCTCTTAGCACTTTTCAATGTTGTTATCTTTGATCTTTTTTTTTCTTGTGCCCTGAGTATCGGATAAAGTTCAATGAACTCCACGGAAGTTACAAACGAGTAGTATACAAGTCCTCTGCCACACTCCAGTGATCCTTACATTAGCTAAATTATAAGCGTTAGTCATGATCTGCTCTCAATGAATCTGCATTCATTTCGTGCATGCTCCTGCACTGGGTCGCAACACTGTTTTGACTGCTTTTACACTGTCAGGACACTGTCATTTACACTGTCAGTCCTTTTAGAAGAGTTTTGAAACGATTTGAACGACTTAGCATTTCCGGCTAGCATAATATTAATACCAACTAGTAATTGCTGACACTACAGCTCCCCCCGCTCTGTATATTGTCGGTCAATAGTATCGTGGTTGTGTAGCTCTTTGAAATATACCGATTCATAATGAAGATTTTCACACATATTCCATACAACAGGTGAGATAAAAACAGGAAGGGCTTAGATTTAATTAGAAATTGAATTTTTTGCTATTTCTCTTTCACTTTTTACATACAGTTCATTTTATTTGCCGGAAAGTAAGCCTTAGAAATTCAAAGGTTTGATCAATTCACTCTCGCGCGTTCTAGTCTTTTTTTATACTTAATAGAAGAACATCTGAGAGCAGGGAATAAGTCAGTACTTATGGTGCGTTTCCCTGACCCCAAACAATACTAAAACAATTGGAAGAATGACATGCCATTGTTTCCTGCGACCAATTAGGAGAGACCTTCCGAGCAGCTCCTACACTAATTGTCGGCTGATTCCTCTAATCGTCCATCGTTCCATCGTTCTGAACGTTCTGCTAGAGATAAGCTAGCGGTTGATTTACTCGTCTTGCTTGTCGAGTCTTGTTCCCCCAAGGAGAAAGAGTGTCCGGCAAATTGTTTCCTATCAAAGATTTGTGAACTCGTGTCTGGCAAACTCTCGAAGTGTTTATTGCGTTCGAGGTACGTGAATTTGTGTTGGTTAATCTGTGCATTATTATTGGGTGTCCTGTGCAATTAATAAGACACACATTTGCCTCGCTTTGAGGCGATTGCTTACGTTTTGCCTCACTTTGACGTGCTAACTTACGTGGTGATTCGAGTGTCCTCGGCGTTCATTTTTCAAACGTTTTCTGACGTCTGCTAATTGTCTTTGTAACGCGTACATATCTCAACAGTTTCCTGAAGGTCTACTATCGATGTGTGTTTATTGAATCTTCCAAAGTTGTCTTTTGAAAATGCGTGCGACTGCTGGTGCATGCATCAATGAAACCGGGTTGTTTAGCTCGGCGGCCGTTGTGCTACAAAGTAAATCTGCCGAGTTGTGTAGCTTGGCGGCCGTTGTGCCACAAAGTAAATCTACCGCGATGTGACGCTTGGCGGCCGTTGTGCAACAGTAAATCTACCGCGATTTGAAGCTCGGTGGCGCCACTTTATCATGACTTGTGATATTTTAGGCACCGGACAAACGAACATTTTAGCTCTATGTTATTTATTCGGAAAAAACTTATAAACCAGCCTACAGTAGCGCCACACTGAAGTCACTGAAAGCAACACACTCGACCAAATTACTGAAAAAGTTATTACGTGAGCACACACATTCCACTGAAGGCTTTGACGATTGCCTTGAAACGTGTGAGAGGTGTAGTGTAAGTGAACCACTGTCCAAACACAATTCATTGTGCCCCAGTGTTCATCACAAAAAATGTGGTCTTGGGTCTTTAATATCAACACAAGTTAAGAAGACTTGCCAGTACCGGTTTCATTTTAGTCCACTGACAAAAGAAAAAGAAACCCGGGTTAAACGCTAATCAGGCCTTCGAACAACTGCGCCATGCGGAACATCTATTCAGTCTATTGCACGTTCTATATCAGTTTCCTCGCCCGACGCACTCTGGTCAGTTTACTGTCTCCTCGAATTACAAGTACTTGAGACGAACCATACGATATCACAAGTCTTCAAAACCTTTTCATAATGAAACACAATTAAAAAAGAGGTTTCGCTTTCAAAATGTGCCATGATCATATTTATCTATCGCGAGAACCATCCACTCTTCCCCCTCAACTGCTACCTGTACACTTAACAAACATATCGACCGCACTCTGCTAAGCTCCGATTACTCCTAGTTATACACAGTTATACGCACCTTGTAGCTTAATCTGCGCTTAACGAGTGTCGTTTGGTCCAAAACTTTCAAAACAGCTGATCAACAGAATGTCACTGATAACACGTAACGGAGGAGCGTTGCGTGACGACACAAAGAACAACGGCTGTGGAGCAGACTAGCGTGGCAGGCGCTGGTTAGTTTTTTCGTCAGTTTTTACAGAGCGCGAAAGGCAAACACACGAAGAGGAAAGCAGGTGCCTGCATCGAAAACTCTAGTTTTCCGTTTACAACGTTCTCTGACGACGCGATGTTGTAGAATTCTATTGGCTAAGAGCGCCTCTTGGGAGTTA